AACCTTGGGCTTGCTAGCCTTCTTGGGGGACGATGCTGCGGTGGACATGTCGACTGGCTTTGTCTGCGTTAGTCGTGCAAATGAACCCGACATCTTGTCAAGGCGGCGTGATGTAGCGATGGTGCGGACGTGATCGGAAACACGCTAGCTTGTTTGTGTCTTGTTGTCCGTGGCGGCGAAATTTGTGTTTCTTTTCTGACTTCACGCTTGAATTTCTCCCTTTCCAGCCATCAAAAAGTGCCTTGTCTCGGTTGATGTACAAGATGACATGTCCATCGTACTTGTCTGACGGAGACCGCTGGCCAATGGCCCTTAGATCTTGAGATATCTGACGTCTTTACACCAAGCACACTCATGACTCCCGAAAAAGTCCGTCAAGACGGCTCATAATCATACCCAGTCTGGAAAGAAGCGATTGAATGTATGACTTGAGAAACACCGGGGCTTACGACGCTATGGGATGTTTTGACGACGATACTTTTACTCGCAGCTCATAAACCCAAGGCACGCGCCAAGGCCAAGAGCCGCTCTTCCCGTGCGGGTCTCCAGTTCCCGGTTGGCCGAGTTCATCGCTTCTTGCGTAAGGGAAACTACGCCGAGCGCGTGGGTGCCGGTGCGCCGGTGTACCTGGCGGCGGTGCTAGAGTACCTGACGGCCGAGATCCTTGAGCTGGCCGGCAACGCTGCTCGCGACAACAAGAAGACCAGAATCATCCCCCGTCACCTTCAGCTGGCCGTCCGTAACGACGAGGAGTTGAACAAGCTGCTGTCCGGCGTCACCATTGCTCAGGGCGGCGTTCTCCCCAACATTCACGCCGTACTTCTCCCCAAGAAGACCAGCAAGGCTCAGTAATTTCCAGACGGAGGCCCACATCCCCAAACCCCGGCCCTTTTCAGGGCCACCCATATCCTCTCGAAAGAACTGTAACGTTTGTCTGCGTTAGTAGTTCCTAGGTTTTTTTGTTTTGGTAAACATGTAAAGCATAAAGCAAAGGTGTTTCTATCTGGTGTTGTCTGTTGTTTGAAGAAACGTGAAGTTTTACCATGCCCAATATAAGAGAAACCTTTGGCTGGCGTTGCAGAAGCCTGTATCGACAAACAGCTCAGACATCTTGGTCGTCATTAAATCTAGAGAACTTATTTGAAATTCACGTATCGTAAAAAAACGTACAGACTGTCACGTGCCTCATGCCCCAAGCCTATGTGCAAATGTTGGCTCCACTATTCTCCAAGCAGAGGTTGGCGGGGACGGTCGTTACCTTTCTACATATGCCCCGTTTGGTGGGCTTAGCGACCAGAAACGGGGCAAATATAGAAAGCTAACGATCTTCCCCTCCAACCTCTGCTTGGAGAATAGGTCCCGCAAGGTATAGCCAAAAAGCAATTCCCTAGGGAATGCATTGGTGGAATTCTTAGACTATTTTCAACTTAATCGCAGTGCTATACCAACGGCTCCGCCCCTGAGGCGTCGCCAAAAATCAACTGTTTTCCGTCAGCGACATCGCGTTTTGCCTCCAGTATGCTATGGGATAGGGTTGATTCAACGTACTACATTAAAAGAATGACAAGAAAATTGGCTCCGAAAGTCCAGCTTTTCTGATCGCCCAGAAATTGCATTAGATGCCTTTTAATAAACTGGATAATTCATTAATTCATTATACGTATAACGTTACAGTACGTATGTCATTACGAACTGATACATATACAAAAATGTGCATGTAGAATGCAGGTGGCCCAAGATGCTCCCACTTCCCTACTATCAGTGTGGCATAATAAGGATATGATGAGTATTTGATAGTCGTCTCGCAGAAAATCTGTCGTCTGCATGATTAGTCAGGCTTCAAGGTATTTACATGTAGTTACAGTGCAAACTGGTATCACATCGCCCTACAGTTTAATCAGGCCACAGCAATTTCGTCGGATTTCGAAAAAAAAAAAGAAATTTTGTTGCCCTTTGACATAAATGGGTGAATAACTTATGCGCTTTGATCATCCTGTATTAAACAAACCCATTTCAAATTATATCTTTAACATCACAAAGAAAAGAGAAGAAGCCGAACCTCTGTATTGGTGTAGTTTTAGAGCTGTTTGTACTACAAACATTAAAATTACCTTTTCATCTGTTCACCTGTACTTAGCCCGGAGGATGTCATCTATAAAATTCACTTGCTGTGGCCTTAGTTTCACCTGTTCTTCTGAGAATCTTTAAGTATGAGTTCCTGGGAAACGACTTGTAATGTTCCAAGAACTTACATGTACCTAATCTTAGACGACGCTCTTGGCGGTAATGCTGATCATTTCCTGATAACTACCTTCATTGTAGAAGACGACCCTGGCATTCTACACACACAACGATCTTGAGTGATGTTGGGTCTTTTCCAAGAACTTCAATAATTTCAGACGACGATCACTATTCGCAGAATCCACACGAATTACATAGCGGTTGGCTTCTACTTAGGGAGTCCTTTGAAAATTGTCTACCTTTAGAACCTATGACAAAGAACTGTCTGTTGTTACTGTATATATATTGAGTTTATTGACTTCGTTCACAATTCAGTAAAATACATGGCAGCTTCATTTGTGTACAAAGATGCTGAATTGCGCATTTTACATGATTAACATGATAACAAATCTATATCTATATTACTAGATCAACATGATAACAAATTAAAAAAACTACATGTAGTAAACAATGACATTATGATGATAACATTATAAGGAATTGAAAAAGGTTCTTGATAAGCTGTAATAATTGATGTAATAATTGACACTTGGAGATTTTAACAGGTATATTTGTTCAAGAGGTAAGTGAAGTACGGGATAGGGCTGTTTTTGTAACGGTTAGTTTTTGCCAGAGGGATGCAGAGTTGCTGGGAACTTTTAAGGTTTTTAGCATGGACTTCCGAACGGGTTGGAGGTAACCAGCCTCTAAATGTGGGGGGAACTTAGCAAGGATTTAGCAAACTTTAGACTAAGGGTTTCTCTCCTGTTTTCCAAGGAGGGCAGACATAGGTGAGTTAGGGCTTCATCGTAATGGGTATATTGGGCGCCAAGGATAATTCTAAGGGCACGTTTCTGTATTCGCTCGATCTTCATGGATTGTTGCGTCGTGATGCTGGGACTCCAAACGGGGGCAGCGTACTCTAATGTGGGGCGAATGTAACCTTTATAAAAAGCAAGGTCTAAAATAGGGAGTCCGAACTAATTTAATTTAATTAGCCAAAAATTCTTGAACTTGCCTTGGAAATAATGACCTAAACATGTTTATCCCACCCCAAATCACGTGATAACCATAAGCCGAGTATACATGCATTTTCTGTGTATTCAAGGGGGATATCATTAAGTGAAATAACGGGGGGGGGGGGGG